AAACAGATCCAACCTTTAAGGAGAGGTCTCTCCTTAATTTGGGTTAATCTTGTAAAGGACAAAGAGGACAAGATGAAAATGAAGGGGTGGCCAAGTCGCTTCTACTCCCGTATTTTTTCATCCCAAAATTGGGAGACAGAAGGGATTCACTTGATTTTGACATTTTCTTTCAATTTTTTTTAAACATAAGTAAATATTAATTTTATAATAAAACTATATATTTTTTAAATTATTTAATTAAATTAAAAAAATATAATCTCTTCTTTCCTTACAAATCATTTTCTTTAAAAACCATTCCTTTCCTTTCCTCAAATTCCGTCCCAAACGCGCACTCTCAAGTCCTTTTACATGATTTTTTTTTTCGGCCGAAACCTTCTTTAACATGATTTCACCTCTGAGACAAAATTTTAGTGTAAAAAACCAATTGGGAAGAAGAAAAAAAATAATGTTAATATTTAGTAATATATTTTTCATTGATTAAAAAATTAGGTGATACATTTTATTTTAGATTCTTAAAAAAAAAAAAAAGAAAAAAAAGCACAAGTTTAGTGCTTAATTCTCTCCAGCAAGAGAAAGTTTTGCTTTTGATGAGATCGGCAAGGCATCATCAAGATTTCCTTGAAAACCAAACAAATGAGTAAAGGAAATACAAAGATCAGGGAAATATAACAAGATACCTGGGAACAGGATTATGTACATATCTGGAAGCGAAAGTAGAGTGCAAATGCTCTTCACAGGCGGCGCAGGTCGTAGATATCACCATGATTCCACCCTCTCCTCCTCGCTGCTTCTGGACTTTGTATTTGGTAAGAATGAAATTAGGTATGCAAAGAAAGTCTAGATATTTCTGATGAAAGGGCTACCATGTGCCTATATATAATGAGGAAAGAAGGCAAGGGATAAAAAATTCAACAGAAAATTATTATCTAATTTGTACTGTATAATTAAAATTGTTAAATAAAATATCTATCTTTTAATATTCAAAATTTTTTATTTAAAATTTTTTATATTATAGTATTTTACAGTCTCATCCAATATAAATGGTAAAATAGGATTCTTCCTTTTGCTGTGTTAGGCAACTTATTATGATTAACCTTCTTTATCAATAATGTTTCTTTACGAATAATTTTTTATCTTTGATTATATAATATAAAATATTTTTTTATTTTTAATTTATTTTATTTACCTACTTTATAATTTAAATTTAAAATTTTTATTTTTATTAAAAAATACTACTAAACTATTCAAATAATTAGCACCAAATTATATCATAAATGTAAAAATGGTAATTTAATTCATTCAAAAGAAGGTTATTACTAACATTAAACTATACTAGTAGAAGGGTATAAGTTAGAGTAAAGGTGCAAATAAGGATATTAATTTTGTATTTTTTTTATTTAAGGATGTTAACTTTGTCAGTTTTTAAATAAAGATGTCCACTTTTAATTTTTTTTAAATAAGGATGTCAACTTTCAACTTTTTTTATTTAAGAATATCAATTTTTAACTTTTTCTATTTAAAGATTAATTGAGTAATGATGTTGACTTGGCTAACATATTTTTTTAGATTATATACCTGAATTGATCCCCTCAACTTTTATTGTTGAACTAATTTATCCTTGAACTTCAGAAAGTACCAAAAACATCTTTCAACTTCAATTTTCAGCACCAATTTCGTCTTTCTGTCAGTTCAGTGCTAATGTAGCTAATTTTTCCACTAAGTGATTGACTATTTTACATTTTCAATATTAGGTGAAAAATCCATCATGTAAAAGATGATTATGT